CCCAGGCACATATATAAATATTTTAATGTATACCTATATTTCCAGGCACATACTTAAATATTTTAATGTATACCTATATTCCCAGGCACATATATAAATATTTTAATGTATACCTATAAACCCAGCCACTTACTTAAATATTTTAATGTATACCTATATTCCCAGGCACATACTTAAATATTTTAATGTATACCTATATTCCCAGGTACATACTTAAATATTTTAACTAAATAGTTTGTAAGTGAAATATAGATTTACAAAAAGTACTAATTCCGCAATCTATTCAAATTTCAACAAAAGTCCGTTGGAGCCCAGCATGAACTTTTTTTTTAACATTTCACAACTGAACTATCTCATTGTTCGCTCCTATAGTAAAATAACAGTGTATGTATAGTTATTTTCGTCATGTACGTCTATAGCAGAGGAACAGCGCGGCTCAGTAGTTTCGCGCTTTGAATTTGTAGAGGAATATTTGCGAGTTGGAGGCTGGCCTGAGTAATGTTGTTGTGTCTTTGAACAGGATACTTTATACCATTTACTCAAGTCTACCCAGCTGTATGAAGGTTAACCGGAGGTTAATATGCAATGGACTGGTATTCCGTCCAGGGAGGGGGGAGTATACCCATTCTCGTCCGCTTATGCCATTTGAAACCAGAACTTGAAAGTACCACCCCTATGTCCCTGGACTGGTATTCCGTCCAGAGGGATGTATACCCATTCTCATCCACTTATGCCACTTGAAACCAGAACTTGAAAGTACCACCCTTATGTCCCTATGTAAAGGCACGATAATGGCTATTTGTAAATTTTATCTCCTATAATCGATGAACATTATAGCTATTTTCACCATTTAATCATATATCGAATAAACAAAACAGATATTTTACTCTATGAACTCCTTTATTGAAAAGGTAAATATACATACATTGATTGTAAATAGACTGTTGTCAATTGCACGATAACATATCTGCATTAAGTAAAAAGTTGATTATTTGAAAGTTTTATAAACGTTGCTATTTCTAGCATGTAAATATCCCTGGTGTAAAGACTAATTACTATGTGTAATTGTTTCCAGTGATGAATTATGCCAAGAAAACTGAAGAGAATGTGCTGACGTAAACTTTAATCCTTGTTTTTTTTGTTCATTTCTGTTTGTGATTTTATTTATCAAAATACTCTATTAAACCTAATACTATAGTGCTATTTAAATGAGACAAAGAACTAGACCTATCATAATAAAGTCACGTGGTTCATACTTTTAAAAAAACCACGAGTTTAATATTTTCTTCATTAATCTTATATACCGTAGCATAAAGAGGCCTATTGCAACATGCTTCAAAAATCTATACATTGGCATTGCATCTCAATGAAGCACTTTAATACAGAAGAAAATAAAAGGAATATTAAATAAAACCAGCTTCATAACATGTTCCCTTCTATTACAAGAAAAAAAAACAGTTTTAAAAGCAATACAGTTATGTCAGGCACATTAATCAGACGAAACAGCTACACCAACTTCAACTTTATAAATGGAAATGCCAAGAATCACTGTTGCAAACATGTTGCTGTCGGAGGTATTACAACTAGTTCTTATAAGCTTTAGATTTATGGTATTTCAAAGCTGTTTCTTCCTATGTTTTAAAACCTAAACTTGGAAAAAATAAGTATATATAAAACATGTTAATCATTAGTTTTAGAAAAAGTAATGTTTATGCGGTTATGAACAATTATTATCATAAAGTTTCATTTTAAAGAAATCGATCAGTGTTAGCTTACCAAGTAAATTGTTTATCGATCAGTGTTAGCTTACCAATAAAATTGTTTATCGATCAATGTTAGCTTACCAATAAAATTGTTTATCGATCAGTGTTAGCTTACCAAGAAAATTGTTTATCGATCAGTGTTAGCTTACCAATAAAACTGTTTATCAATGAGTGTTAGCTTACCAATAAAACTGTTTATCAATGAGTGTTAGCTTACCAAGAAAATTGTTTTAGAAACGCTGCCTAATTTTCGTCTGATAATGTCAGTCAGCAATTAGCTGTCCCATATAATAAACCAGTGGCTTAGAATTAATTTTATTATTGCTTCATATCAGAGCAATTATGTTAAGAACTATGTTACTATATTTGGTAAACCTCGATTATCAATAAAAAAGGCATCTAAAAACGAATATAGAAGGGAAGCTAGAGTGGAATTTTACCAACACATCGTTGCTGATCTAACAAAAGCGATTATTCAAACTTAGAAAGAGGTTAAAATAAAACCAAAGTATTAAAGTTCATTGCAGTAAAAACATTATTTAGATTTTAAGAAAAACAATCGCAGCACATGCACTATTAAAATGTCTAAATAGTTTTAAATAGGTATAAAATAGCGTATAATGTAGCCAGTTCACTTGACTTACTGACATCAGTCCTCATCGACTGTTGATTTTGAGTACTTTCCAAAACCTTCACATGCCTAATGAGGTACGCCTTTGCTTAATTATACTCACATTAGGACTATGTTACACGTGGCAGTGTATACAACAATTAACTTTGCAACAACGTTCTTCAGTCTGCTATACTAATAATAAGCAATACAGCTGCTTGCAGTCATGGTGTACTTCCTAGACGATTCTGAAAAAAGGCTTGAGAAGCTATAAAATAAGTAGTTATGTCACATTAATCTAGATACTATAGTTTACAGAAATAAAGGATTATGTTGGATAAACTATATACTATAACTTACAGTAATGAAAAGCTTTTTTCCAAAGTATAACAAATTTGAGCATGTTATTATAATTCATGTATAAAACAATTGATGATTCTAAATTTGGAGTACTCATTCAATGATTAGAAGTAGTTTATAGATATTAAGGAGATTTCTAATGGTTTTGATTTCTACATTTTTCGTAATGTAGTTTTGTTTTCGTAGATTCTCAAACGAAAGAAAAGCTATGCACAGTTGCGAAAATTCCAGTCCCTTCTGTTTATGTATAAAATAATCGTTATTTCGCTGTTTATGCATGACATACCAAATCTTTAATGCTTATCTACAACATAAAGCAAATATTCGATTTTTATGTATGACATAATCACTAGTGTCATTCACTTCGAGTAATACTTATTGCTTTAGTTATCATTTCGCAAACGTAATAAAACCAGGTTTACATTTCACAATGAGCTAATGTATACTGGTTTGGAGTGCTTCAAACATAAATTTTGTCACTGAGGGAAGTAATCTTCTATAGTGCTTACTCGGAGATTTTGTTATAGACAGAAGATCAAGTGTATTTAAAAACAGATCAAACAATGTAGTTCCTACCGGTTAGTTTTTCAGCTGGTCTTATGGTGCTCGATGAAAGAGTCACAATAGAACTACGTCCCTTACGATTTACCGCGTAAACTAATAGTCTGTAGAATGTCCCCGGGGTAAGTCCGTTCACAGAAAAAACTGGAACAGGTGACGAAACTTTAGCGTGGAGGGCTCCGCTTTCTTTTGTGTAAACTTCTATCATGAATGTTTGTTCCAATCCTCCGTCAAATCCTTCAAGGCACTCCACCAGGATTAGCTCCTCTGTACGGTTAAATATCGAGCAGTTTTGAACTGGTTCTGGAGGCTCTGGGAGAGATTGAAACGTTTGAATGATCGCACCTTTGTTTTTCACGCACAATATAGGGCTTAATCCTAGAACAATCTGAGTAGCTTAAAGAACTTAAAGTAACCGTAAGTGCAGATTTAGAACATTAGAGTCTAGGAAATATTCAGTAAAATCATGATTAGTTTCTGTAAACATCAGTTACACGAGAGGGTTAAGAAACCCCTTAATTAATAGAAAATTACATTATGTATGCCCTAACATACTGTTTATGTGTGACACAATCGCTATTCCTGCTGTATGTGTATGAAGTAATCCGTTCTGCTTATGTATAACATAATCCTAATCCCTACAGTTTACATATTAAATATGAGATAATTCCAATCTCTAATGTTCATGTCTTACCTGCAAGTATTATTTTGAAGACGCAGGGATCTTTTTGCACTCCTATTGTGTTCTCCCCCCAACACAATAAAGTTCCGTAGTCTTCATCAGTCTGTATGCTGTAAGATGCTGTACTTTGACATTTGTTGCTGTGAATTGTATGAAGGATTTTGTCTGTTACTTTAGCAGAACTATTGAAACGCCAGTGAAATGTAATATCGTTTGGATCTGAGTCCAGTTGGCACAGGACTTGAACACTTTCTTTATTCAAAACTCCATAAATGGACTTTTGGCCAGGTTGACATACTGGAGCATCTAGAAAATTAACAAACATAACCATCCGGTCTTCGTATTCTATGTTTAAAGGTAGCAAGATATGCATTATTTACATTAGATACTACTTTTTTTAAACGTTATCTTAGTGTTTGTTTTTAAGCGCAAAGCTACAGAATAGGCTATCTGCACTGTGACTATTATTGGTACGGAACCACAACTTTTAATGCTGTAAGCACTTAAGCTTACTACTCATCCACCGGGTTATGGTTTGGAATATAACATTGTTTTAATAGAATAATTTCTGCACCTATTGTAATCAAGAACATATTCCTATTCCAAGTACATCCCAAAACTAAACTTAAGACTCTGGTTACTAATATTATTCATTTTTTTAAGTGATTTAGTTTCGGTTCCATATTCATTTGTATCCTCTGCGTTTGAATGCTTTCATATTTAGTGTTTGTATTAGGATTAATGTAATATATATCTACAAATAGTAGAATGTAGTAGTAAAATATATGTGCACATTTTTCGAACGGTGGCAATATGTATCAAAAAATGTCAATTAAAACATATTTGATCAAAATACATGGTTCATACTTTAACCACTACTCATTTTAAGCTCTTCTGAATATGGAATGGTTTTAGTGCAACCTGAGCCATGTAAAGCTCAATTATTCTGTGACACAGATATCCACTGTAAGCCCTAGGATAGAACGTATAAATATGTTCAGTTATGCAGTGATCCAGGTGTCCAATGAAAGATTTAGAATAGAACAAACATATAAAGATGGTCAGTTATCCAGCGACCAAGTGCCCAATGTAAGCCTTAGGATAGAACAAACGTATAAAGATGGTCACTTATCCAGTGACCCAAGTGTACAATTTAAGATTTATGAAAGGAGAACGTATAAGGTGGTCCGCAACATATTTTAAACATGTCAATCTAATTATTGTGATGGTGATTAGTAAGTAAAGACCAACATAAAAACAGTTTTCTGTAATAGCAAAGAAACCCATTAGACTAAATGCTTAGCTCTAATAAATCAGATCTCTAACAGTATCTCAATGTTTTGAGCATTTAGCGTATTTGTTACATTTAATGTTGGAAGACAAACGATTAGTAATATTTTGCATATTTTCTGTAATCCGGTACACAAAGGAACGATTTAAACCTTATTGGGAATCGTACTAGGAGATGATGACTTATGAAAAAATGGAATGTGATATACAGACCATATCCTTGAGGAATATGAACTATATTAGTTTGGATTAATGCTTTAAAGACAATGCTGCTCACGAAAACCATTCAGAAGGAAACAAGGCAGGAAGAAATGAAGCGTACGCTACTTCCATTAAAGAATAAAGGAATTCGCCACATCACCTCCTGACCCCAAAGTTGCAACAAATTTTGAAGCTTGCAACAGGAGCACAATTCATAGTAAATAAGCAAATACTATTTTCTCGTTCTGTTAGAATGTTTTTAATCACCTGCACGCTTAGAGAGCTTCCTTGTGTTCTGTTTGTCTGATCATTATGTATATGGAACGAGAATAGCAAGTAATGTTATAAAAGAAACATAAAGATAGGTATAGAATGGCTGGAGTATGTGTTTTGTTCAGAAGGGTTTTGATATTTTTGTTATAGTGTTTAAATCAATGATTGTTGTGTTTTAGAGGTTACAAACTGATTGAGCCTTGGGGCATTATCAAAATAGCAAACAAAAACTAAACTAACAAGCTACAGCTGTGGTAAAATATTTATATTTTGGGCACTTAAAATAATTTTATATATTGCACGTACTGTTTGTATCGACCTCGTACTACTTCCAATTCAACCAAACGTACAATAGATGAACGTGTAAGATAAAATAACGTACACTTAACCTTCAGAAAGATCTCATTGCTGGTACCCACGCCTTCACTATTTGTAGCTGAGCAGAAGAATTTCCCCCTGAATCTTTTTTTCACGCTCTGTAGAACCATTGACTGGCTACTGATGACTACACCTAGTGAGGGGTTGCTGACAAGTTCGTCTGTGTTGAAATGCCATTTTATTTCATTCACCCACGGGTTGGCTTTAATGTCACATTCAAATGTAACATCATCTCCCTCCTCTATGTCTTGTTTTTTGGAGTAAGAAACCACCCGTAATGAGACGCTTGGAGGATCTAATAAAACAGAAATGATTTGAAAGAAATTTAATACGTTATTACAAAATTTGAATTCACATTTTATTTTAATTCTGAGCTATTTTTCGCTTACTGTGAAATAACATTTAAATGTCAAATTGCGAACTTTTTCAGTTGATTATGATACCTCATTACAATAGTTTGATGAAGAACGATGTGTTTCACAATGATGAATCGTGTTTACTACAATCGTCGAAACATTCATGTAACAGGTGTTGCCGACTTTAAAATTATGTTTCCGAAAAACTAACTTTAAAACTAATATATACAGGATGGTGATAAAGACAACCTCACATTAGAAATAAGTTATGTTTTAATATTACTTGTCCCAGAAGAACACAATTTTACCAGAGACATATTGATAATCATAAGTTTTTAAAGGAATTTTTGACAAGGTACAATGTAACCATGATACGCTTCATTTTTTTCCCGCTCAAACTAGTATTGCTTTTACATCCCTTGCCCTTCCCCTTCTCTTTCTATTTTCCAACAATGTGTGATTGGTGGTTTGAGTAAAGTACGCGACAGTCTGCAGGATATTGCAGGAATCAATTAACAATGTCCAGAACAGATAATGCTTATAGTAGCTTAAGTTAAGATAAGCTTGTTATGGGGCTTGAGGATGAAGGAAAACATGTTGAACACCTTCTGTGACAGCTTTTTGAAACACGCTATATTGCAACCAAACTTTTCTGAATAAAAAGTATGACTCTCAATGCTCCTCTGTGAAAAGTTTATTTTTATAGAAAAAAAATACATTATTAAATGTATGGTCGTTTTACATATAAGTTTTCTTTATAACCCACTCTCCTTATCTCTGTGTGTATAATTTCTCGAGAGTACTTAAGGCTTTTAGTGCTTTTCTTGATTTTTACTAATCAGTTAATGAAAACCATGCGTCTGTTGTTTCATGAATTTAAAAGCATCTACTAATAATTATACACTGTTACAAATTTACTGGATATTTCAAATGTTTTTGTCGAGAAGTTAGAACGTTAATTTTTTTCATACATCTCATTAATTACATTTAAAAACCTTAATAGTATGAATAACAATACGATGGATCACGTTACATTTGGCTGATGGAAATGCACTAAATATCCTGTAACTATCCGAAATGTATTATAAAGCATATTAAACAAATTCGAAACAGCATAAATAAAATGTAATACATTTTTGAACATCATGGATTAATATTCAAAACCTTAAGTGTGTTTGTCAATACAAAATACTTGAAGATATTTAATGTTAGGAGTTCTTCATGACTAAACAAATACATAATGTTGGGAGATAGCAATTCCCTAGTGTATAGATATCACATATTCTCAGGTATAAACATATAAAATACATAATATTAGGTACTATCAAGTTATTTAATATATTTAGACACAACATAAAATTGGGTGTTAGAAACGTTCGGTACATTAAAAATATGTATTGTAGTGAACTATATAAATTCCTCAATGCATAAACACTGCACAGTTTTGGGCGCTACTAAGCCACAGAAACAATAAAAATGCAAAATGATGGTTACTATGGATCACCGTTGCATATTTACATGATGCATATTGTTGGAGCTTTTATCAATTTCCATTATATATGTACATACTATATAATCTGGACTTTTATCAAGCTCCATTACATAAACACACACACATACATATATACATAGATACTCCATAATCTGTGGTGCTATCAATCTCCACAACATATGTAAATACTACATAATCGGGGGGATGCCATTATTCATTAAATATATATATATTACACAATATATTACACAAAAAATGAAGCAAGATAGTCTGCCTGTCTAATGTTTATTAGAACAAATATCATAATAATGTAGGTACGTATAGATATTTATTAGAACGTATATCATAATAATGTAGGTACGTATAGATATTTATTAGAACGTATATCATAATAATGTAGGGACGTATAGATATTTATTAGAACAAATATCATAATAATGTAGGTACGTATCGATATTTATTAGAACAAATATCATAATAATGTCGGTATGTATATATATTTATTAGAACGTATATCATAATAATGTAGGTACGTATAGATATTTATTAGAACAAATATCATAATAATGTTCCGTACGTATACATATTTATTAGAACGTATATTATAATAATGTAAGTATGTATACATATGTATTAGGACGTATATCATAATAATGTAGGTATGTGTACATATTTATTAGAACGTTTATCACAATAATGTAAGTGTGTATACATATGTATTAGAACAAATATCATAATAATGTAGGTATGTATACATATGTATTAGAACAAATATCATAATAATGTAGGTATGTATACATATGTATTAGAACAAATATCATAATAATGTAGGTATGTATACATATGCATTAGAACGTCTATCGTAATAATGTAGGTATGTATACATATGTATTAGAACGTATATCATAATAATGTAAGTATGTATACATATTTATTAGAACAAATATCATAATAATGTAGGTATGTGTACATATTTATCAGAACGTATATCATAATAATGTAGGTATGTATCCATATGTATTAGGACATATATCATAATAATGTAGGTATGTATCCATATGTATTAAGACATATATCATAATAATGTAGGTATGCATACATACTTATTAGAACAAATATTATAATAATGTAGGTATGTATACATACTTATTAGAACAAATATAAAACTTACAGTGAACTTCTATGTTCCATCCTCTTTCAATACCACTTCCAGGAACCTTTGTATTTTCAGCTCTGCATGACAGGTATTTTCCATTATCCTCTACAGAAGGCAAGAACTTAAAAATACTAGTAGTTGTGTCACCTTCTGTTATCATGCTGCCACCAGAGGTTGCTAACTGTTCTGATCCTTTCCACCAAGTGATTTTAGCTGGTGGCCGAGAACCTCGTGTCACACACGTTAGTTTAACTTCTTTATCTGCTGACATTGGGCGGTGAGAAGGTGTAATTTCTATTTCGATTGGTTTTACTATAGAGGAATAACTGGTTAGTATAACTTACTAAAAAATAAGTATCTCAAAATAAATCTCAAAATGTAATGAAGACAAAAATATATAATAATATACCAAAAGAGGAAAAAGAAACAGATTGAACAGAAAACAGAGTTTTTCTACTAAACTCTGTTTACGTAGGAACTTCTTGTATTTACCTTATTCCATATCAATATGAAAATAGTGTTATTGTTGGATATTAGACATTTTTACCCTAAACATAGAAATCTGATCAAATTTAAATTCTCGACTTTAGAATCCAGGCTTCATATCCTTAAGATAAAAATTGGGTCGTGTTTAGAATTCAGACTATATATCGTTAAAATTAAAAAAAAAAACTACTAATAATAGTAATTAAGACTTTATATCCCCCCAACGTGAAAATGTTGTCATGTTTGGCATTAAGACCCTACATTCTCAACTTAAAAATATTGTCAGGCTGGTGATAAAGACATAAAAGTGTTATCAGGTTGGAAGTAAAATACTGTCAGGTTGAGCATTAAGATCTTATGTCCTCAACATGATAATAGTGTGAGGTTGGGTAATAAGACTTGTGTCAAGATGAAAAATGATGTCAGATTGGGCGTTAAGGCATAGCTCCAATGTAAAAATATTGTAAGGCTGACATTAAGACAGCACTTTCAACATGAAAATGAAGTTAGTGTTGATATTAAGAATTTTTATGATGAGATTAAATATAATAGTACAATAATGTGAAGTCGAGTCTGTACTTCACCAACAAATCTTCAGTTCATTGACAAAGCTACTAGACACCTGCTTTTATACATGCAGTACTCAACATATAAGTTATCCGAAAACCGTAAGAAAATGAAACATATAAACATAGACAGAAGACAATTATAAATAAAATTCTTAACCGTCGACTAGTTGATTTTTATAACTACACAAAAAGTTGAATTTGCTTTGAAATATTTGGTGGATTTTAATATACGAATTTCTTATATATTTTCCGACGCCATGTACTTTACAAAAGTTTGTTGAGTAACTCTTACAACAAGTGGTGTGTCACATATAAAGCCATCATTTTTTGTGGACCTCATGTCTACTCCAAACACTAGAAAGGAGCGTTGCTCACAAAGGAATACTTCTGAACGTGTTTGAAAAGGCAGTTTCTGTACACTTGTCTCTTTTATAATGAGCTCTTATCTACGACTTCATTCTAGTTCTAAGCCATACTGTAGTGTTGATCAATACTGATATGAGATATGTGCTTTGTCAAAAAGTAGGCCCTAGCTATAGGCATGCTCTAAGGAAAGGAAAATATCTTTACACGAAGTTTCTAATTCGTATAAAAGAGAGAGAGCGAATATGTATAATTCAAGAATTTAATAGTGGTTTTTATTTCACTATTGACAGTTTTCTTGAGTTACAATAAAAAAATATTTGAACAGTCTTGAGAACAAACAGAAATAATAACAGTTATGAATTGGCAACAAACAGAAAAAATAACAGTTATGAATTGAGAACAAACTTTATGCATCATTTGTCCTCGTAACAAATTTCTGAAACATCGGTTTAATCTTACAAAATTAAGTTGGTAATTTTAGAAAAAATAAACAAAAGTTCAGTGGAATAGTCATATAGTTAATGATTGTTTCGTGACGAATAATAATTATATATATATACTTTTTCGTACTCGCATATTCTAGCTACAAAGAGTTAAGCCTTTTTTTTTACATTTGTTTACATTTCTAAGAGCCTTTATGAACATTAAACACTCAAATGGAAACTATAATTTGAGATAACTCTTCTTTATTATTGCTACACTTAATGTTTCACACCACAAGACGTCCTTAGAGTTTTTATTATAATCCCTCTCACAAACTGCAACCAAAATCGTACAATAAGTGTTTCTTCATTAATAACCCTACAAGTTCCTGCAGCCAAGTACTAAGGCAGAACACTAACTAACCAAATAACTGGTTTGGAATGATGGATTGTTTCTCTGGTAGATAATTCTATCTTACACCATTACTACGTACTTAGAGTATTTGAGTAATTATTGTGAAAACAGTATCCAAGCAATCCGTATTTTTGTTCTCCGTTTCAATGTCGTAATTGTTTGTATAGAATATATACTTATATCAATAACAATTTAATGTTCTGTATAAAATGTGATAAAAATCGGATTGGCAGTAAAGTCATAAATTACAAAACAGTAAAGCTAATCTGCTTAATGCAGAGCAAGCTATATATCTTTACATGAACGTAAAGACTGGTCGGTAATATTTGAAAGTGACCTCATGATAGGTTTTTATCATTATAAATTACAATAAAACGTCAAGAAGATGGCTCTACCCTCATACTTACAATTAAGTTTTAGGGTAATCGTCGTCGAAGAAGGAATTGTTATGTTGTTGTTTGATGCCTGGCAAGTCAAAACAACTCTAAAATCGTCTCTCTCCAGCTCTGGAATAATAATTTTGTTTTGAACCATCTCATCGGAACCGAAAGTATAGTTGTCGTCCAAAAGGGTATAATCTCGCCACCAGGTTAAAGAAGGACGAGGTTTTCCTACAGAGGGAAACAAAGTAGGAAGAAAAATGCACAAATTGTTAATATTAATTAATAGATTTCTGTGTTTTTGTTTTTAAGCTATCTTAGTTATTTACAGGATCGTAAGCTCCAACAACTAAATTAATATATATATATATAAACTTGTGTTTATGCTCTTATTAATGAAAACATGACTGCCGAATCCTCAAATGAAAGCTAATTATGGAATGGGTTCTTAATAAAATAATCTCTTTAATGCTATCATGAAGGTACCAGAGAAAAAATGGCTTCATTATTCTTAAGATTCATAAAGGAAACAAGAGTTTTTTTTTAACAAAAATATTGTACGGCCTTTGTTTTGATAATGCGTTAATTCTGAAACTAATACAAGGTGATACGCTCTATTTATGTCGATTCTCCGCCCACATTTTATACTATTTGTTAGTCCTTATAGATAGATTGTTTTATATCTCATGACAATAAGAAACATAGATATAAACCCTTTGATGAGTGCCAACCTCATGTCTACCGTGGTATAAGATGCTGTATTATATGCTATTGCCTGATGAGTATGTATTGTTTACCGTACTTAGATTTAAGAGTAATTTTCAGGCTAATGTATCCTAGTTTGTGTTCTTTTAATGGAAATTAATATACTTTGATGCCTTTTATTACGCTTTAGACCCTTTTTCATTGTAAATATTTGAAGACTGAATGTAAACAGTATATGAGTAACTACAAAATATATGATATTATTATAGCCTTTTTAAACAATATCATTAGCAGATTGTTCGATTCCGTAAAGCTAATTAGTTCTTTCCTTTGCACTGCCTTTATTAATGTGTTAGGATAAGATAGTTTATATTTATTTTTCTCTCATTGTACATTCACGTAAACATATGTATATGATAAAAAACGCGTATGTTGTATAAGGCTATCTTCAGTGGGATCACTTTTTCACAGTCTTTTTTCATAATTCAACTTTAAACATCCATTTTGTTACTTAATTCAACCCGCGAACTTTATTTAATGCCTCAAAGATTTGAGCCTTTGAGGAGTATAACACTAAACAATAATTGCAGTTAAGGAAAAAAAATATTTTTTGAAAGAAGTATCACGATCATCAGATCAGAAGTAGTCTGCTCTGTTGACCTATTGGTCACGAACTTTCAGTCAAAAAATAATCTTATTCTTCTAATGCCTATAACAGTTTTTATAAATCATTATCATTTTTTAATAGTAAGCATAACGTAAGAAGTAAAATTATAAGTTGATCAGTGATCAGTTGCAGAAATTCAATCATTCGAGAATAAACAGAAGATTGGCAATATATATATGGAGCCACATATTTTTGGCCATTCTAAGCGTATTAAAAAAAAGTGTACACTCTGATGTTTGGGAATAACAAAGCATAAAAGTTATAAATCACATTAAAAAAGTTCGCTAGTAATAACTGATCCATCTGTCGAAAGCACTAGGATTTTATTGAGTTTTTTCATGTAATTTACCAATTTCATTGAGCCTCTATGTATTTTTACTATCATAACGCTTTTTGTTTTCTTTAAGAATTTTACGAAAAGCTACATAAATAGCTTTCTGCACACATTATCTCTTATTATGAGCTTTTACACTAGAGGAGAGGAAACTAGTCAACAGCACCTGCTGACAACTCTTGGATTACTCTTGATTATCGAACACTGGGATTTAACCGTAACTATTATTACACACATACACATACACCTAAAACATCAAAATGCTCTTACACCATCGGAGTGAAACATCGGATTTCTATCATGTGACAAAATACGCAAATTCCTTTTTGCGTAATATTTTTGGGAAGGAGGAATTTTTAAAATTAATTTCACTATTGATTGGCTACTTGTTTAGAATTAATGAAATAGCTTTGCTATAATATTTAAGTCTTTCCTAAAACAATAAACTGGTACTGCAAACAAGTAATCTGGATTTATCGACTTTAATATAATACTCTTATTTTATGGTGAGTGAACTTAAGTAAACGAGTAGGCAAATCCTCTGAAAAGTTGCTCAACTTAGCTCATTCGTTAATCTTATAAAAGTAAAAGATGTTCGAACCCGGGATTTATTTAACATTATAGCAAATTATTAAGTTATATCTCGAAACTTAAGTCGGCCAATCAGCATGGTCAATTATTATATAGTTATACAATATGAAAACAACTGTTAAAAATATTATAGCTATCATAAAACAATAACTCCATTTTATAAATTTCAGGGAAAAAAGATATCATACAATTTTATCTTGTCTCTCTCTATAAATATACTGAGGGTACCAAACATATTTTGCCCTTTTTATTCCTAACTTATCGAAAGAACTTAAAAACTAGCTTAATATTTAGTACTTTTTATGTACATGTGAACACCCAGAATGTTAAGTTTATATTTTATGTAATGGGTTCAAACACGCAATATAAAAGGTTAAAAATTAATATAATATTATTAGTAATCTAACATCACCCAGGGTCAGTCATCATATTTAGTCTCACTGTACAAGTATAAAGTGTCAGCAAAGCTTTTCTCAAATTTAAAATTCATTGAATTATTGAAACACTGCGAAAAACTAGCGTGAACATTTCAAAATTATTTATCTTACGCTTAAATGTTCATAAAACTTTAGTATTTGTGACGCTAATAGGATTTGTTCCTTTAATAGTCAGTAGATTTGTAGAATTAATTATTTATATTCTCAGTATTGTTTATAGCTGAATTTTTTCACATAACGGTACGTTATGTGGCATATAGGCTAAACTACTAAGTCAGAGATCCTCACAGTTCATCTGTAGCATTCTCTGATTTTAAACCGCTAACTAAAAGGAAGGCAGCAGCACACGCAGCTACAAAGGTATTGTCCGGCTTTTTGAACCGAATAACTGGTATTTTTATAATGCTCTTGCAGCTGAATGTGAGGAGCTTTTTCAGTAGAATCACGTCTTAGACCTCGGATTCATATCCGCAACTTGATATACCTATCAATAGACCTTCTCGATTCTGGAAAATCGTCATAAAACTAATATTTTACAATATTTAGAACCATTTGTCCATAAAAT